TCTTTCAGTCAAAGTACAGATGTATTTGTTCTTGTCATGACAACTGCAAAAAGAAGACTAAGAACTGACAAAGGCTTCCTGGGAAGAAAGTTCAAGTTATTGCATTAAACTTTCCCAGCTCTTAAGAGCACCAAGTCATCAGCAAGCAAGCGCTCCTCCACCCTACCCTCACTCTAATCCACTGGTAGCAGAAAGGCTGAAACTTTAGCAACTTCCAGTTCCAATCTCTAGCTGAACTTGGACATGAAAAAAGAGGAAATTGACCATGAGATCAACTCCAGAGTCTTGATTTCTAATTCTATAATATACAAATTCTCGATTGTGTCTTCTGTGGCTCAGAGACTGTCTGTTGTTTACGCACGGGCAAAATAACCATAGCTCAGAGGTCTCCTGCAGAGCAGAGATTCACCTTTGCTTACTCACTGGGTGTCTTAAAAATAAAATGCTAAAGGTTTACTTCAGAACCACTGGTCTTCAGATCGCTAAGAATAGCCCTCGGGAATATACATTGAAAATGAAATAAAACAAAATGATGCTTGAAAGTCCCCAGCTGACTCTGATGTACAGCAAGTCTACCATGGTAGTAGTCAAAGAATACAGCTCCCAGAAGCCGATTTTACAGGGATAAAGGAAAACAAAACTAGTGTGATTGCCACAAGTTGTGCTTCTCAGTGTGCTAGACAGCTAAACACTGTAATTCTCTAGATTTCATTTGGAAACTGAAAGTCGAATCTTCTACTTTAAACATTGGTCCAAACTAGCCAAGGCTGAGTTCAGTTCTTAAAAGTGGGATCTAAAATGGCCAGTGCAGTATCTGGAAACTAGGAAAATTCTTTCTCTCTTTCATTAGCTAGCCAGGTTTTCAGTTAACGTATGTGAGAGGCATTGGATCTTGTAGACACTTGAAAATTCAGATAACACTTGTAGGGTTCAAGTCCAGATGACCCAGACCCAGAAACCATGAGGCGCCTAGGAGGAACTAAGTCAGCCAACTACCAGCCACCTGCGTGCTGACAAACAAGTTCCAAGAACCTGTGATCCAGTGAATTGTGACCACCAGAGCATGCTCCACGGGCTGACAAACAGGTTCCCTGAGCCCTGTAGCTGCAATAAGTTCCGGGAGCTCTGTAATTGTAAAAAATACATTTTACAGTAGATGTTTTCCTCTATAAGTTTCACCAGGTAGAGACTCCACACCCTCCCTGAACAGCCCCAAATAGCAGAAAAATATTCTCTTTCCGCATTCTTTTCCCTTTGTAAGCTGCCCTTCTGTGGCCATTAGGCTGCTGGTTACACTCACTCCCAGACTAAGCCCCAGCCCCGCCAACCCAATAAACAGTGATCCCAACCCCCTACGCCTTTTTTATCTAACAAACACCTGTCATTTCACACTAACATCCTGGGTCAAGTGTCATGGTCTGAAACATTATATGAGGACTTTGGTTTGTTGGACTTCTCTAATGCCATCTTACGCATGGCTCCCTGGGCCTGGACAATCCAGGTGCCCATCCTTCCTCAAGGGGAGAGCACAACACCTGACACCAGGCAATGTGTCACACATCCAGAAACAATGACTAGATTTCACTGTGCCCAGTCCTCTTCCTTCTTCACCAATTTTTGGTGTAGAGAATTTTGTTTGGTTATATTTATATTTTTATTTCCTTTGGTACTTTTCATTCTCTGTCTCCTAAAACATCCCTAAGCAAAGAAAAGCCCCTTACAAATCTAAGCTAAATGAGGGGTACAATCGAAAAGGGACAATGGGATGCCATGTTCACTTTCCTAGCTTTGTTTGCATTCCAACAAGTACCAAGGGATGTTCTGCTTCCCTGTGACACAAGAAAGAGCCCCACTTCCTTTTAAAGAGTCTCATCAAAAACAAGGCCAGTGAAATTGGAATGACTTCTTGCCAAAAAGATTTGTGAAATCTAATCTTCATCTATTACCATATGATGAGAGTGGAAATAAGGAAGGATTTTAAAGTCAAACATGACCTTTTGTCTTTAAGTGCACTGTACCACCAGGGAAGCTTTATTTGTTTACTATTTGTTTCTTTTACTTAGTTTTAAAGATGTTTTAAAAGAAAGAAAGCAATTCTAAGAAAGGTCATTATTTGTGCTATATCTGTGAATCTCATAATTACCCAGCAAGACTCCAGTCCATAGCTACATGTGGGCACCTTATGACTGGTCACACTGGTTTATGGCCCACTAGGGTCATCTGCATCTACTTCCCAAAAGTCTCCAGAATTCCCTCTTTCATTTATTACTCCTTGACAGTTTTTTAACAAGCATTTAATTAGTCTTTTCTCAAAGCAGATATTAAGTATTTTCTTTTTCTTCTTTGTGGTGTGGTGTGTGTGTGTTCTCTAACTTATTGGTATATGAGACCTTAGGCACTGTTTCTCCATGCACCAATCACATTGCAATTTCATGCCTAGCTTTCTTTCTGTGTGTGTGTGTGTGTGTGTGTGTGTGTGTGTGTGTGGTCTATGTGCTCGTGTGTTTGTGAGTACTCATTCCCTAAGTGTAAGCATGTGGAGGTCAGAGGATGCCAAGCACCTTCCTCTGTCACTCTTCACCTTAATTTTTGAGACAAGATCTCTCACTGGCTCTGAAGCTTGCTGGTTTGGCTGCATTGCCTGGTCAGTAAACTCCCAGGATCCTTCTGCCTCTGACTCCCGACATCCGGGTTACAGGCACACCAGGCCAGATCCAGCTTTTATGTGGATGCTGGGTATCAGAGCTCAGGTCCTCTTGCTTTGACGGCAAGCATTCTTACTTGCTGAACCATCTGCTCAGTCCATGTTTATATTTGAGAGACATAATAAAAAAGAGTAAATGATCAAGAGGGGGAAAAATGAGAGAGAACATCTTTATAAAATTAAGCTTAATTTAGGGCAGGAAGATGGCCAAGGGGGTAAAGGCATTTGCTGAATCAAACCTGACAACCTGAGTTGGATCCCCGGGATCCACATGGTAAAAAGAGGCCTCTGACCTCCATACTCATGCAGCACATGTGCACACATATCATACACACAAAATAAAATGTAATAAACATGTAGTTTACTTTTTACTTTTTGTACATAAACATTCCTTGTTACAGAATACTTGAGAGATCACAACTTATTATCATTCCAGAAAACAAAACTCAACTAGGTGAAAACTAACAGAAATGAAGCATAAAAATGAGGCCACAGAGATAAGAGAAGTGGAGTTCTGCCAGATATTAGCACTATAGAGAAATGTTCAAAAGAAAATACATCAAAATCCCATCTAAAACTGGCCCTCCACTGTGCAGATATCAAAGGACACAGACTGCTCTCATAGCATTTAAACACTAGACCTTCACCTGAATTTTTACCCCCAACAGCTTCAAAAATGGTGATGATGAAATTCAAATAACATCTAAAATTTAGTGACTAGTAGTATACCAGCATCATATTCTTCATTCTGACAAATGTACCATAATAATATAAGATGTCAACAATGGGAAACCTGGGCAGAGGTCTCTGGAAATTCTCTGAACTATCTGAAACTTTTCCATAAATATAAAATTACTCACAAATAAAAATTTTAATGAAAAACAAGCAAAAAGCTGTTGTGTCAAATTGGAGTCTCTGGTTCATTCTGAAGCTATTTTCCTGCAAACATGCACTGAAGAAGCGCTTTTATCTAGAGAGTTATGCAGTGAAGAGGCAAGCAGCTGGACTCTGATTTAACTGGAAGATTTAATGGGATGTCTACAACAGCCAGGGGTGTCCAGGTGTTGCATCCAAACACTGCTTGCTTTATGTGCTCCTGTAGGGCTTTTTCTAAATCAAACTTACATAATTCAAATCACATTTTGAACATACTAAGGTAGCTTGTGTATTTTTAAAGATGTTTAGGAAAGACCGAGGTGATGGGCATATCTTACATAGGGAGAATGCTTACACGTTTGTTTGTCGTGCAAATTTGATTTGCATGGATGAAAGTGGCTTTGCGTGGATCACCTTTATCCACGAACTGCCTTATGAGCCATACAAGGCAAAGCTGCCCAAACAGCCCCTTGGTTCAGATCCCCGTGGTTCTATTTTCCTTTCTGTTTGCCACATCACTTGGATGACTCTGACTAACTCTCAGCTATTATAATAAAGAGCTCTGTCCGTATACAGGTCTCAGCACAGAGCAAGGCTCAGCCCCTATAAGGGAGTGATCACCTGAGCGACAAGGCCGAGTGGATGAGATACTCTTCTGAAGAACAGAAGCAGACGTAGGCAAAGGCATTGCGACTGTCCCTGGATTACTGGTGCTGGCACATAAGCTCTGCTGTTGGTCAGACAGGTCCTACACTACCCCTTGGGGTCTGATCAAAGGATGGCTCAACTTAGCCGGAGAAGCGAGATCCATGAGAGTGTTTTCTGATCCATGGATGAGAAGAGAAAGTAAATCTTAAACATTTTATGAGTCAACAAAGCAGTTAAGCTGCTCATGATTGCTTATGGGTTTTGCCACTGTGAGTGTGAAAACTCATTAAACACTGAGAAGGTGATGATGATGATGATGATGATGATGATAACCTTTTCTTGTGAGCTATTGAAGCACACCCATCAGCAATCCTATGTGTTTCAGATTTTTATTCAAAATTATTCATTCTCTTATCACCTTCTGGGAGAAGCATAAGGCCCGCCCCTTGTCCTGAGACTTACTTTGGGCTGATGACATACGAGCTGCAGAGAAAGTGCCCTGCCAAGGCCCTATACATTCCCAGCCATCGACACTCTCCAATTTGCAATGAGATGCAGATATCGTGTGTCACTGACGCTTCTTTACCCTGCATCCCAGAATATCTACACGTGGAACAAAACCAGGCCAGCTGACTTGTAAACCCAGAAGCAAAACTAAATAACAGTGTTCTAAGTCACTGGGGTTGGGATGGCTCATTGAACACAGAATTTTGTCATTAGCTGAATGACACACTCTGTCCTTTCCCCAAGAGTAAAAACTTCAGGTACTCACCTTCTCCAACTTCAGGTTGGCCCATGAAGTGAGCAGAAATCTGTCTCTCATCCTTTCCGTACTCATTCTTGGCCATTAGAGTGTAGTCCCCATTATTTATATGGGTGGGATTATCCAGCTGGAGGCAGCCGTGGTACTCCGTATGATTGGTAACATGTATTTTAGTGCAGATGTATTTGGACTCATTCAATATTGCCCCGTTATAGAACCACTGCAGCTCAGGCTTGGGGTTGCCTTTCACAGTGAATGGAATGCACCAGTGGTGGTCTGAGGTTGGAGATTCGAGAAATGTGATAGTTGGTGCAACTAAAGTAAAAGAGAGAGGGAGAGAGAGAGAGAGACACCAAGAGAGAGACAGAGAGAGAGAGACAGAGAGAAAGTTCAGAATTTTTCCCATCTTCAGATTTCTGTATCATTAATAGAGGATTCTATTCAACCATCATTTGGTTTAAGAGAACCCGTGACCAGTAACTTTAGATTAATCATTATTTTGTATTATCATATGGTTGATTTAACTCTCTACTCAAGTCCCGTACAATACAGTCATTTTTAAAAATTGTTCAGTGCAGCAGAGAATCAGTTCCAAATTCTGACAGTAAGAAACACTCATTTGAAGTCTACTCTGGCTTTATGTGCACACACACACACATGCGCACACACACACACGCACACACGCACACACCCCTTAGTATTATGTAGATTCTTCATCAAAAATAATAATTAATAAATGGTATTAATTTAATTAGTGCTTTTTCCTTAAAGAATCAAAATAGCTACAAAAATCACTAAATTCAAAAATGACTTTGCAAATTTTCCATGATACTGATTTCATACAACTTTATTGACACATATCAGACTAATCAAAACAGGAAGCAGATTGATTAACATAAAGTATCAGAAGATATTTTTCATTGCTTATAAATAGCAAATACATTTTTGAATGCACTGAATTACAATGTGGTCCATTTTTACTAGATTCTGAATGTCTTTTTTTTTTTTTTTTTTTTTTTTTTTGATCTTTTTGAGACAGGGTCGCCCTGTAGTCCCAGCTGTCCTGGAATTCACTATGTAGACCAGGCTGGCCTTGAATTCACAGAGATCTGCCTGCCTCTGCCTCCTGAGTGCTGGGATTAAAGGCGTGCACCACCACGCCTGCTGAGTGTCTATGTTTTAAGCTTTTAAATGTCTGAGGTCAGATTTATACTTGAAAAAAACAGACTAGAGATTATTCCAACTTCAAATATATATAGTACTTTATACTTAGAGGAAATAACCCTGATCAAGTGGTATCTTCAAACAGATATCTCATCTGAGTGAGAGTATTCCAAAGTGTTCCTCATTGCTCATCTTAATGTGGTCTGACTTTGATAATTATAGTAAAAAAATGCACTGGAAACAGGTTTTGAGATATAATAGCATCATTTTTTCAGGTAGAGGTACTACAGTCCAATAAGGCTAAGTAGGCTGGTCAAGGCTATCCAGACATTAAGGATAATTCTTTCCATTTTCTTCATATGTTGCTCTTTTTAAAGATTTATTTTATTATTTAGCTATGCGTGTATCTGTGACTGTGGGTGGGTATGTGCACTGGCATGTGGGTATCCACAGAGGCTAGAGGAGGACATCAGATCCTCAGGAGCTAGAATTACAGGCAGTTGTGAGCCACTTTATGTGGGTGCTGAGAACCAAACTGGTCCTCTGAAAGAGCAGTGAGTGTTCTTACCCATTGAGCCATCTCTCCAGCCTCCATACGCTACTTCTTGGTTGTATGTGTTCATCACACACAAAAGAGACTGCAACCTGACCTCATACAGACACTGTGATCAGGCTCCCTGCAATTTATATTTTTATCACTAATTCTTTCACTTATTATCTAAATTTGGTAGAGAGTCAAATCTTGAGATCTGGAGACATCAATATTCACATAAACTTGGAAATAACTCCAGTCCAAATGTCTTTAGAAGAAAACAGATAAGCTAACATTGCCGCCTTTGTGCTCATGTAAATCTTCCCAAAACACTACCCAAGAAGAATACTATGTATGTGAGTGCACCCGTGTCATGCAATGCCACAGAGATCAGAAGAGGGCTCTGCATTCCCCTGGAACTGGAGTTAAGGACAGTTCGTAGCCACCATGTGGGTGCTGGAAATCAAACCCAAGACCTCTGCAAGAGCAGTCAGTGCTCTTAACCGCTGAGCCATCTCTCCAGCCCTGAAGAAGCAATTATTTAATAAAAATAACCTACATCACTTTCATAATATACAGAAATATTTCTGTTTAGAATTAAAATTCCTTACAGCCAAGCATGTGGTGTTATTGAACTTGTGAACATGTTGAGAATGGGGCCCCCTCACTTCCAAATTGTAATACTACAAAATCAAAAATTTCAACATTTCATTGTTTGTTCAGGCTAATATTTCCCCTCAGACCTTCTTAAAATGGGCCCTAGAAAGCAAAAATCGCTTTTAGCTGTTTATTCCCGCTAAAAAAAACTAACCAAAACACAATTGAGGGGCGACAGTCACTACATAAAGCAATGTGCTCACATGTGCAGATGTATTTGCAGTCCTGTGTCACAAACCCAGCACAAAAAGAGGCACAGAGAGGGTAGGGGCCATACTTATTTTCCTCCCACCAACCCACGCCCCATGTCCAGAGCCTTTTTATCCCTTCCACAATGCTCAGGTGAACTTTCAGTGAGGTGTTGATTTAAGAACATAAACTTGGAAGCTGGCTACACGTTTGGGAATAATACTGAGTTTAAGCTTCTCTCTCTGGTAAGAAATTATAAATCCAAGACCCACTTGGCATAGTGGTAGTACTGAGAGCAAGGGGGATTAGAGTGGAAGATTTCAACCACAACCAAAAGTGTGCTATGAGTGTTAGTCAGTATAGTGATACCAGCGACTGCCATGCGCCAAGATGAGTGTACTTGGGACACAGACGCTCACATGTATGCTTATGTTTTTCCTCATGTAGATCCTAAGCCAGAGCAAAACCTCATTAATTTATTCAACATGACACAGAATTTTCAGCGACATGAGTGCTTATGTGATCTTCACAGAATACACATTCATACCAAATGCTACAATCTAGAATTTTCAGAAATGTTCTCTTATTTACTGGCCAGAAATCAATGTGCATATGTTCACTAAGAAGCATGGGTATATCTTAGCTTCAGTGCACACAGAAAAGAAGAACAATAATTTTTCCAAAGATAATAATTTCAGTAGTTTAAATAGGATTCTTCCTACCTTCCCACAAAACCCTGATGTCAAGCTAATGAGATTTTATGGTATCAAGGAGACAATTGTGTGTTTTCGAAAGGCCAGCAAATGCTTTACGTTACAGTACTTTCAATCTCATACGCTTTTTAGAGGAGAAAAGTCTTTAGAAACCTGTTTATCAGAAATGTTAATGAAAGGACAATTAGCTCAACATATGTTCTATTTAAAAAGACAAAGAGGGCTGGCGGGATGGTTCAGTGTGGAAAGATTTGCCGTGAATGCTGAGGACCTAAGTTTGATCCCTGAAATACATCTATGTAAGGGGAGGACTGATTCCTGCAGCTTGTCCTCTGACCTCCACATGCGCACTGTGGCACAAACGCACATGTATACATACATACACACACACACACACACACACACACATTAAATAAAGATCAAGATTTTTAAAAGACAGATAACAAGGTAGAAGCTCAAGACTGAAAAACATGCTGAGAAGTAGAAGTGTGAGCAAGACACACAAAGCAGAACTGACAAGAGGCCGACTGACAACAAAATGCTACGTCACAACATTAAGCAGCTCCCAATGTATACCTGTGACAAATATGGGCATGTTCACAATCATTGTCTATTACAAACAGGCTGGTCTGATTACGTACAATGCACAGTGAGGTTGACAGAATCCTGGTCTTCTCCAACGAGATTTTCTGCCACACATGAGATTTGCTTTCCACTGTCATCAGACGAAATGTTAGTTATCCTTAAGGAGCCCTGTGTGTGGCTAGTTTCATTCTGCAAAAGAATTAATAGACAAAAATAATCCTGACTAGAAGTGATCCCCAACACACACACATGTGAACACGTGTGTGCATGCATGCACACACACACACATGCATGCATGCATGCCCTCCCTGTTTGATTCAGACCCAGGTAAAAGGAAGTTATTCTCTTTCTCTAGGTTTCAGTTGCTCAATGTATTAGGTTGACTTAATCTTTGAATGCTTGCCCACCTTCTTTCTGCCAAGGGAAAGATTACAAGGGCAGTCATTTCCTTGCTCAGAATGATACATAGAGCTTGTTACAGATTAAAAAAAAATCTATTCCAATCTGATATGTACATATAACTAAAATGCAAATGTGAATTAGCCTTTTCTAATTACAAACAACTAGAAAATAAATGTACATAAAATATTTACTGTGAATTTCTATGTGTAGGCCCCAAGATGTTGGACGTTTGTGATGGTTAGTTAAGATTATCAAGATTATCAATTTGACACAATGTGGAGTCACCTGGGAGTCTTAACGGGGAATGGTCTAGATTAGGCTGGCATGTAGTCATGGGGGATTTTCTTAATTGGATTAATTGGGGTGGGAAGACCCACCCTGAATGTAATGTGGGCAGCACCAGTTCATAGCCTGGGCCCTGAGCTGAATAAGAACAGTAGCAGCATTAATTCATTTCTCTCTGCTCTTGCCTGTGGACCTAGCATGACCAGCCAGCCCATCAGGCTCCTGAAGCTGTGACCTCCCACTGCTAAAAAATATAACCTAGAGTTCTGAGGCAGATGAACCTTTCCTCCTTTAAGTTCCTTTTATCAGGGTTTTTTATCACAATGACAGAAAGAAATTAAGACAGTGGTCATCAACAGGTTCAACAAAAAGCATCCTCTGTGTCACTGTACGAGCAGAGCTAAATACAAGCCTTACCATATGTTTGGAAACCAAATTCCCAACATCCCAGTACAAGTTAGGAAGTGGATCACCTGCCACACTACACGAAAGAGTGACAGATTTCCCTTCCTCCACAGTGAGGTTGGGTGCTGCCAGACGAGCAGACGGCAAACCTGTGGGATAAGAAAAGCAGTGACTTACCCAGAGAGGTACAACTGGGATCGAAATGATAGCAATAAATTGAGAATTCCTTGTTTTCAAATCAATCATTCACTTTCTGAGTCTGAAAAGTGTCAAGTTGGTAAGTTTAATAAACGTAATATAGATTAAAATTATTCAGTGATAATATTTGAAAACAAATTAAGTTTCTTGAAAATACTACTGTATGAGGCTGGAGAGATGGCTAAATGGTTAAGAACACTGACTATTCTTACAGAAGACCTGGGTTCAAATCCCAGCACCCACATGGCAGCTAACAATTGCCTGTAACTCCAGTTCCAGGGGATCCAACAGCCTCTTCTGTCCTCCTCAGGCATTGCACAACGAAGGTACACTTACTACATGCGGGAATGATACTCATACACATAAAATAAACATAATAAATAAAATATTTTTAAAAAGAAAATACTACTGCACAAAAATCCTTTTATTTGGAAAAGATCCACTAAATTACAGAACTACACCTTCATCTCTTTTTCTGTTCATCAATTACTAATTCATTTTTTGTATGTAAATAAGTACAGTGTCTAAGAACCAACATTATGTTGCCTCTATTTTCCCATCTCCTCCTCTTCATCTTCTGATAGTTGAAAACACAAAAGGGAAAGATACATCCACATCTTTATATAAGTCCAGTTTTGTAGTAAGAAATTCTTATAAATCTAAAAATCTACTATAAGACCAGAGGGTTTGAACGAGCCATACTGTTAAGGAAAATATAGTTTCAAAGCACTTCTCAAGGATGAAACTTGAACAGTCACTGTTAGAATTTCCCAAAGCTAAATTAGTCATAGTTCATTATTATGAGTTAAGTTGACCATCCAGTTGAACTGATCATGAAAATTATGTGGATCCTTATCACAATGAAAGGTTCTTAAAAACAAAAAACCTAAAAATGCATTGTTGTCAGAAGAAAATTTGAACATTACACTATTTTTTTTAATATTTCAGCATTTGGAATCCTTGTAGTTCAAAAGCTAGATGGTTTTTATTTTAATTCATGCATGCTGTAGTTACGTCATAGGAATTGCTCCTTCTGAGTGTGCACGTTACCTTAAACTATTATGAATTATAGTATCCTTTGCATAAAGACAGGGCCTGCAGGAAAAGCAGTATGTGAATCCTGCCAATCAAACTGTTCAGCCCAATAGCTGAGTCTCAGAGAACTGTGATGGACCATTATCTAAAAAGTAACTTGGAGGTCAGAAAGACAGTTCATCTGCAACAGATGTTAAATTACAATGAACTCACCCACCTGCCAGTAACCAGACTTGCCATATTTACTTTGACACACAGAAACTCTTCATTATTAAGAAATCCTGACTCACAAAGCAATTTTTCTTTATTATTGAAATTAGACTGGAACAAGGTTTATGTACTGAGTGACTCATGATGATTTGACCATTGGGAGAGGACAGCCCAATAAAATTTAGCTTTTAGGGACTAGTGAGACCTCTCTGGAATTCCACCTACCTATAAGCATCCAACAGAAAGAAATATTAAGTCCTTCACAAGATTTCAAAGAGGCTCCTAGTATCCTGAGCTCCACAGGGTCAAGCATACCAGGTTAAGTGAGAGCATAGTAAATAGAAATGAGCCCTAGACCTAACCCTCATTCAATTAACTGTATGGTTTTAGATAAATCATTTTCTCATCTTTTGGTAGGTTTTCCTTACAACCTCGGTAATAATTAAACTTTCTAACTCATTAAGACACATATCAAGGCAGAACATCCTTTGAAGTTAGTAGAATGGTCTGGGAAATTTCTTAAAAATAGAGATTCTATTTGTTTTCAACCTAACATTCAGTCACTTAGTTTGAAGAATCTATAATCTTATAAAACTTGATATAAAAAAAGAGTCAAACTATGCTGGGTGTGGTGGCACATGCCTTTAATCCTAGCACTAGGGAGGCAGAGGCTAGCAGATCTCTGTGAGATTGGGGCCAACCTGGTCTACATAGTGAGTTCCAGTCCAGCTGGAGTTACAGGAGACCCTACCGAACAATAAAAAATAATAATAAAGTTAAATCATTGTATGAAGAAGAGCCGTCATCCTCACTTGGGTGACCTGTTTTCTGTTCCCAGTTCCTCAAAACACCCATTTCATTTACTTGAATTTCTTCTTTTGCTACTGATCTCCACCTCACTAAGTGTTACGTGTACATTCCTACTTTTTAGTTTTTATATTTTAGAATTACCTACTGATCTCCCACCAGAAGAGAGCTAGACTTCTCTCAAAAAGTGCACCAGCCTTCCCTGCATGCCCACATCAGACTCAATACAATTCTGTGTTTGTGTCTTTCCAGTGCTGTGAAGTTACAATTTTATTATGATACATAAAGTTTACAGACAGCCAAACTATTTAAAAAGTGATAGACACCACGTATCATCAGATTTAAGATGCCAGGTTGACTGTGATGATGGTTCCTTAACATTCACAACTCCCATTACTTGGATTCTAGACTTTCTAAACCCCATTCAATTTTCTAATCCTTTGTCACCTACTTCCCATCCTTGTGCCTATTTTGAGTTTTCCTTTTATTCATCTATCTCACTTTTATTTTCAAGGCTCTTTTCCTTTCCTGAATATTTTTTTTTTCTCATAGAACTGTGTTTTTATTTCACAAATGCAGTAGAAACTCTCTAAT